GCATTGAGTCCGGTCGCACCGCCGCGTAACGCCGACGGTGGGCGTCGCCTCCTCGCCGGGTAACCGCAGTTCTGCGTGTGCTATCGCCGAGGCGGTACCGCGCCTCGCGTCCAATGTTTCCTCCTCTTCGGCAAGCGCGGACGCCCTCACGAACCGGTGTCACGCGTGACGGCGTGTCCCAGACGTGCCGTCTCTGTCCACATGGCGTCTATTGTTTGGATCGGCTTAAGTCCGCACAAAAATGCTGGCGAGTGCGGACGGCAGCCTCCACGACCGCTGCCCCGACGCCGGCTCAGGCGAAAACGTGTCAATGCCCGGCCACCTGCTAACGGACCGTTCGCAGCGTGGCTGGGGATAATTCTCTAAAGCCAGCTGATTACGCCCCCAGTGGCTGCATGAACCATTGGCTCTGCTGGCGGCGCTGGCTGATTGTCGCTGTGACCTTGGCCCGCGCCGCAAGATTCATCACGCCGCACCATCAGAATGCTCTCGCTCGGCCCATCGCGGCCGCACCGGCGTCGTACACACCCAGCGGAGCCGCGTCTCACCACAAGTTCCCCGTTCCAGCCGCCAGAGGCGTCCATGGTCGGAGCGGTCTGGAGCCGAACGAGTGCAGGCTCGAAGGCCACATTTCACGATTGTTATCCGCGCTATGTCAACGCGCGAGGTGCTCGCCCATCTTCCTGCCTCGCCCGATGTAGATCACATCTCATCCAGCCAGTGGCTCGCAAAAGGCCTATTGGCGAGCGACCGCCGCACCCTAATCCGGTTCTTTTTAATGTAAGGCTTAGTGATAATAATGATTAGGGCTTAAGGACGCGCCGACCAGAGTCTGTCGGACAATTGCCACTAGCTATGAGCGGCCCTGCTTACGAGATGTAGGAAGGATCCCACTTAGTATGGATAGCTTTGTTTGGCATAAATAGTTACCACACACAATCCAGCACGCCCATGTCCTAGTCCCGGCTCATTTGCAATGCCTGAATGTGCGACCCAGTTCCCACGGCAAGCTTCTTCGCTGGGCGGCACGGGTCGTGCCGGTCTCTCCACCCCGACCCGCACTGGGACGAGCAGGCCGCGTGACCGGACCGCCAGCGCGTGCATCTGATGGGCGCCAGCATCCGACCGGCGGCCGCCGGGTCACGCTCGGACCATGTCTGGCTCGAGCCGCGACTGCGAACTGCGCCCGGCGCCGGCCGGCCCTGCCGTGGCCGCTCGCCCCGGCAGTCCCCGGGGTCACGGGCGTCCCGAGGGCCGGCGCGGGCCGCCGCCGACGGCCCTCTCGAGCCGTCCAGCCGCTCGGGACATACCCGTCAGCCGGCCGGCAGTCGCGTTTTGCGGGCCGGGGCGATTACCGGCGGAGACCCCGCCGGACCGGGCGGCTCCCATGAGTCATGCTCAATGTCTGGCAAGACGTCACCACAGTCGATCTCCACAGGTTACTTGATCTAGTTGTGCATCACTGGAAGCCAACTGGCCTTAAGACTGGTGGAATACACTGCAAAATGTGTATGTGGTGGCAATATGATAAGCCGGAAGGCAGCGACTTTCGCTGACTAGAGATCAGTGCTCCCCATGCAGCTTATTGCATAACTTACTTGTATTACAGCACATAAACAAGCATGCCCACCTAGTTCACGCAAAGCAGGAATGCGAAAACTATTTGAACCACTTGGGTCTGGGATGAATCCATCCTCACTTAATGCACAGTCATCCAACCTCTTGATGCCCACATTAGTCCTATTGTTTTATCGATATGTCAAATACATTGGTTAGTTGTGTCATGGTCCATGTGCAGCTCCAGATAGTAGTAACTTCATTTGTACTTCAGGATTTCTGGCAAACATGGCCTTAGTGAAGGCACCAAGGATGCCACCTGACTTGACCAGCCAAACAGAAGCTGGTGACATAAGCTTTCAAATCCATGAGGGGTATATGTAGCTTCTATTAAATGGTCATTAAACTCAGCCAATAGTATCAGGCCATAGTTAAAATTTTTGCAGGTGAATTCAAGCATGAGCTAATACCACACATGGCCTTCGTGATGTGATGCCCAAAACTTCCCATGCCGTGAATGTTATGCATCTGCTACCTCCCATAGAAATCTTCTTTTCTACTCATAATGTGACTATGAATGGCCCTCAAAGGTGATTGCACCAAGAATGACAATTATGATCGCTGATGATTATGTTGTTTAGGATTTTATGGGATATTTTTGTGAAAAGCTCTTGCAACACAAGCTTGATCAATCACCTGCATTAGCATGCTTGGTAAGCAAGACAATGAAAGATTACTCCAGCTAGTATATATTTGAGATTCCTATACATTCTTAAAATTTTGTCAATATGACACATTTAGCTGCCAAACCACATCACGGTTCTGCATGCATGACTGATACTGCATGTGCAGGTCTTCAATCCTTTCCCAGAGCTCTATACAAAGATAGGACCAAAGTGAATCAGAGGTCCTTTGCACCACATGCACTGGCTGGAAATAATGGAATGCATGGCAGGTCAAGCCTGTGCTATGAATGCTAATGAAACAGTGCCATGTGGGTATTGGATAATTGTTGAATACAGCAAACTGTTATGATAAAATATGACCTTCAAATAGATGCATAAATCAGATGACCATATCTGAGGGCAATGATGGCCATATTTGGCCATTAAGGAGGCCACATTTGTTAGCCATCTTATCCTATTCAATCTTTCAATTCTCTAGTTTGCCATGCAATCGTACTATTCAAACTATGCGTTTATCAATGGGTTGCAATAGTAGCTATAATAGCAATGCTACTAACTAATCACTTTCATTACTTGGCAGAACAAAAAATCAGATTTTCATTAAACATGACAAACATTTGCCATAGGCTACATGAGTACCCCTATAGCTTATTAATGATTCACCCATGACAAATGGTACATGATGTTAGGAGGCCAAAAGCATGTGACATAATATACCACTCTTCAGGAAAACTTAAGATTTGGACACACAGCAAGCATTGCAGGGTTTTAACAAACCCCTTCTTTCGTCCATTATCATGGTCAGCAATGTCCCATACCTTCTGGTAACTCTAAGATCTCACCATTATTACCACATTACATGCAACAAGCATTGACACATAGAGATATACTAATGCTTTTGAGGATTAACAGTGATAATTTCAGTTATGACCAATCTGAGCAGGAATAAGTCATTTCAGGATCATCCAAAGTCAGATCACATGGTACAATCGCAACCAAAACTTTAGCATTGCATTTTGAAAAATAAATTTGGCTTCAGGATTGGGAAATGTTTCTCAAGCCCAAACCAAATCAAGTGGAAATGAAGCCAACCGTTCGCGCCGGAATTGTCACGAAAAGCGAATGGTATGACGATTAATGCTTCGCCGCCCGCAAATACTGGTGAAGAGATGAAAATCGTCATGAAAACACAGTCATACAGACAACGCAGTACATTGGCACACCGGCCACCCTTACCTGAGCGCTCATAAATGAGTTATTCGGTCCAAGATCCGCCATTTTTTGGATGAATTCGCAGCTTCAACACTTTGGACACACAGTCTTGAAAACTTCAAACTATCGTTCCCGCTTCGTAACAGTTCAAACAACACCTCACGAAGCATCTAGGGCAACACGTCCATGGTCACACACAGTTTCCAAAAATATACAGACCGACACCCAACCCTACACACGAACGAAACAAAACAAAAAAAATACCGCAGCACAAAGCGTAGGTTACATTTAACTCGTGAAGAGCTTCCATATTTTTCCGCTAGGTGTTCCAAAATTATAATGGTTTCAATATATTAAGTAGATAAAGTCAGGATAAATATTTTCCATCTTTGCTCAATTAAAGATGAAAAATTCAATTTCACAGCCGAAATGCGAATGCGGCTACACTTATAATATTGTAACTGCCCACCTTCTACAATTTCAAATGAAGTTTTCAAGGTTTACGAGTTTGATTCATGAATTTAGTTCTCGGGCTGGAGTCCAAGGATTCGCGCCTGGAGGTTCGGGTGTATCGCATAAGCATATGAGTGGGCTTTGACTATTTACAGGACATCGTGTTTTTGTACAGAATGCTGGGCCAGTGCCCACTTTTGGTGCGACATCGCGCTTTCGCGTGGCATGAAGAAAATGAACTCGAAATGCCTACCGATCCCTTAATTGGTCGGCGATGTCCCTGTGCTGAATTGAATTGTTTGAATTTTCAGTCGTGCATGGAGCCCTACCCACTTCTGCTCACGGATGCCTTGGTAATGTCCCCTCTAATGTGACTTACAGCAGCACCGCGAGCGCTGGAGGTCTTCCCTGGAGGACGGTCCTTTTTAAGCTCAAAATGCATCGTACCACTTAATACCGCCAAGGACATTTCATTATAATGCCAGAGTGTATAGCCAAACCAGGATTTGAAACCAGGCCGATGGCCAGCCAGTGATCGGGAGGAGTGGGCACGGGAGGAGGGAAGCCGTTAAGTTGGGTGGCCGAGCCATCAATTAACACCACAGAATCATCGCTGACGACGTGAGAGAGCAGCGAAAATTCCAGTCTCTTGCATACCCCCGTCCCCCATATTGACGGGCCCCTGCCTCATGAGTTCCCAGCCATGATTGTGTGATACGTAGAGCACGAACTCTTGCCATTGGTGCTTTGCGACCATCCAGCTGCTGAGCCTATAAGGCGTCGCCCTCCAGGCAGGAATGGTGGGCACCGGTGGAAATCGAACCCTAGGTTTCCTGAACCCAGGCGGTTCGTGTTTCCCAGGCGCACTGCGTAACTACTGGGCACCCCGGGGCAGCAACTCCCAGTGTGCAATGCCACCCCATTTGTGCACATATCTGGTAGGGAAAATCGCGTGTAGAAGTTCGTTACGCAGTATAGTGACCACATCGATTACATGCCGCTTTTAAACCTTGAATAAATCCGAGACCTGAAGACGGCGAGCCCGTGGCAGACGCGAAGTGAATGTACCACCTTCCGGGTCCAATGGAGAGCTAAGTTCCACATTTGTATTCATATATTTCAGGCATTCTGTACACTGCGTCGCAGCCTTCGGCGTAGAGCGCGAACATCATCACAGGCCCGTCAGGCTCTGGTTCACGGACAGCTGGTGACATCGGAATCGGCAGGGGCATGGCTGAACGGATACGCAACATGGGAACCGGGCCAACAACCGATCCTCCAGGATGAAATTAACGACGAAATTTAACGATTAACGACGAAACGAAGGCATGAAAACGCTGCCTTCGACGTTTCTTACCTGCGGTTTCCAAACAGGACTTGACCATCTGCGCATTTTGAACGTTCCAAATAAATATCGCCCGATTTTCATATTCCTAGCATGGACTTTTCTCCCATGAAACCCTCCACATGCCCCAGCGCCTTTCCACGACAAAACTGGCTTTCGAGCGCGCGCCTCCCCCGCGCTTCCTGCCCCCAACAGACCAGCACACGGCTCCGGCACGCGACAACTGTACACACAGACAGCACTAGGCAGAACCGGACTACAGTTGGTCGAGGTACGGCACGTGCTGCAGGTTCCCTCGCGCCGCCATGGACAGCTTGCCGCCCACCAGCTTCTTGTGCAGCTGAAACAGAGCAGGCCGAGGCATGAGAGGGGGCCGAGGCGTTGGGGGGGGGGGGGGGGGGAAGGCGAGGCGTGAGAGGAGGCCAATCTCGGCGGTCACAAGCTTTCTGGACACGCCTACCAAAGGAGCCAGTGCAACGGCTGGAAGCTCCATAGAATTGAGCCACTTAAAAAACGGGTTTATTTAAAAGTGGGACGGTTCGAACACTTTCCTTTTTTGGTACTCTATGTTGGAGCACACAAACGTTGTAGCATAAGGCCTATAGGTAAATGTGTTTCTTTACACATGCTTTTCAAGTCCAAATTTCGCATACGTGCAAAATGTACATTAACCGTCAACTTTGTACCAGATATTCACTTAATAGTCGCAACTTTACTCCAAACCTGGATGGCTCGCTCCGGCGCGTTAGTGTTTCGGGTAAAAATGCCCAAAATGACGTCATTTTGGCCAAGAGTGCAGCAGCGAACACAACTAGACCCACAAACGTGTTGAAGCGTCCGCTGTCGGCGACGGCCTGAGAAAACTGTGGGCTTAAGAAACAAGGAGGACCAATCATCCCTTCTAATTGCACTGTGGTTAAAAACTGTATGGTTTCATCTATAATTTTCCGCTGATCTTTGTTCAGTTTTACAGCTATTACGCGTTGATTTGAATGTGTCAACGATTAACTCATGCAAGTGTACGCGCATTTGTACTCATTTCCAAGTTAGATTTTGGTCGCCGAACCAACTAATGCTGTTGCGTGCCTGCCAAACTCCAAAGGAAACACATGGTCCTTGTTGGATTTCACGCTTTCCATACACACAAGATCATAACACATATGGCACGTCGCAAAGACATTTGTGGCTTTATTCGACTAACAATCCGAGCCCCGTTTATGGAAATTGCCTGTTTAGCCTTACAGTATAGCCCTGCTCGCCATGACTACAGCACCTGCAGCGCCGTGGTCGTCTGAGCGGGCGACTACAGCACCTGTCCGTGGTCGTCTGGGCGGGCGACTACAGCACATGTCCGTGGTCGTCTGAGCGGGCGACTACAGCACCCGTGCGTGGTCGTCTAAGCGGGCGACTACAGCACCCGTCCGTGGTCGTCTGAGTGGGCGACTACAGCACCCGTCCGTGGTCGGGGCGGGCGACTACAGCACCTGTCCGCGGTCGTCTGAGCGGGTGAATACAGCACCTGTCCGTGGTCGTCTGAGCGGGCGACTACAGCACCTGTCCGTGGTCGTCTGAGCGGGCGACTACAGCACCTGTCCGTGGTCGTCTGAGCGGGCGACTACAGCACCTGTGCGTGGTCGTCTGAGCGGGTGACTACAGCCCCTGTAGTCGTCTGAGCGGGCGACTACAGCATCGTCCGTGGTCGTCTGAGCGGGCGACTACAGCACCCATCCGTGGTCGTCTGAGCGGGCGACTACAGCACCCGTCCGTGGTCGTCTGAGCGGGCGCCTATAGCATCTGTCCGTGGTCGTCTGAGCGGGCGACTACAGCACCCGTCCGTGGTCGTCTGAGCGGGCGACTACAGCACCCGTCCGTGGTCGTCTGAGCGGGCGACTACAGCACCCGTCCGTGGTCGTCTGAGCGGGCGACTACAGCACCCGTCCGTGGTCGTCTGAGCGGCGACTACAGCACCCGTGCGTGGTCGTCTGACGGGCGACTACAGCACCCGTCCGTGGTCGTCTGAGCGGGCGACTACAGCACCCGTCCGTGGTCGTCTGAGCGGGCGACTACAGCACCCATCCGTGGTCGTCTGAGTGGGCGACTACAGCACCCGTCCGTGGTCGTCTGAGCGGGCGACTACAGCACCCGTCCGTGGTCGTCTGAGCGGGCGACTACAGCACCCGTCCGTCGCCTGGGCGTGTCTCACCCCGCCGCCTGGGCGTGTCTCGCCCCGCCTGCGGGGTCGCCGCTGCCGCCCACACTCACCGTCTGCACGTCCGCCAGCTTGACGGCGTCCACGGCCTTGACGGCCTCCTCGACGGATGTGACGGCCCCCAGCGAGGCGCCCTGCACGCCCATCGACTCCACGGCGGTGCCTGTGGCCCCGGCGCCCGGTCACAACACGGCAGAACGTTGGCAGCGCGATCACGGGTCACGGCATACAGTCAGAGCCCGCGACTGGCAGACCCAGACACCGCGCAAGAACCAGGCACGAGACTAGAACACCAACGCCGTCACACTAGTTTCAAGATGGCAAGACGGAGAAACTCCAAAACCATCGACGAACCTGCTTCCTGGGCAAGCTTGCATCCAGTGCACCAGTGCCCACCCTTCGGACTTTACCCAGCACCTCTCAGGGCACCTGAGTGGCCGGCTGAGCCAGACCACTCGGCGAGAGGCGGCGGCTGCCGACAGCAGCGGACATCGCGCCCGCCCCGGCCCTGACCCGCCGCCCGGGCCGGGGCGCGGCGTCGGCACCGACCCGAGTTGTCGTCGGCGCGCAGGAGTGCCGCCTTCACCAGCGCCTTGCCCCGGCTCACGTCCTCGGCCGTCAGCGAGGCCGTCTTGAACGCCTTGTTCACCGCCTCCACCGCCTGCGGACAGGAGCGTCAGAAGCGGCCGCAACGATTTCAAAGCAACATCGCAGACATGCCTGTTTTGATCGATTTGCTGCCAATGCTATAAGCATCGTGTGGCAAGTACACCCCGGCGGCGTGGGGCGTCCTGCAGTGAAAGCATGAACGCAGTGTGATAACCCATCGCATCAACTCACGCTCGCTTTACACGTGACAAGTCCACGGTTTCTGGCACAGAAGCGGCCTTCAACACCACTTCGCCGTGCGCATTCGACAAAGCTCCAGACGAACCCCGTTGCAAAAAAGCGTCGTGCGCTCCAGCTCATAACCCAGCTCTCAAAACCAGTGCCTGCGCCCTGCGCTGCCAGCGCACACCCCCAACCACCGCCACTCACCTTGCCCGCCTGGCTCGCCTCAGCCACGACCGTGTAGCCGACGAGGCCGACGTCGGGGTAGGTGGCGCCGAGCGCGGCGGCGGCGCCGCCGGCCGAGGCGGCCGCCGCTCCGAGCAGGCCGCGCGCGCCGCCGTACTTGACGACGGCGCCGGCTCCGAGCACCGCCTGCAGCACGGCCTGGGTGACGGCGGCGGGCGCGGCGGCGCCGGCGCCCTCCGCCGCCACGGCCACCATCGCCAGCCGGCCGCCCAGCTCGGTGCGCAGCTCGCCGCCGCCGTAGCGCGCCGCCCGAGCCGGCCCTGCCGCCGCGCGCAGAGACGCCGGTCAGAATCGTCGCGGTGGGAGGTGGCATGGGGACCGATATGACTTCGATACGCCTTGAGGGAGACCAAAATCCGCTGGACAATGAATACATTTACGGTTGGGAGACCAAAATGAGTCCAAGGTTGAGCGCCCACGACTCTTCACAAATGTGAAATCTTCCAACCGAAATGCTGAATCTTGGCATCGATGGGGAGAGAGAAAGAGACCGGGTGGAGTAAGTGCGGGCGTCCGGTGAGGGCGTCACCCGGGTGAGCCCGTCCATCACCTCCAGCGCACAGCCCCCCCCCCCTTCCCCCCCAGCGACACACCTCCCTAGCCAGCACCGCTCCACACCGTCTGACGTCACCAGCCGGGTGACGTCACCCTCCCACCTCCGGCCTCACCGTCGCCGTCGGGCAGCTGCAGGCTCTGGGCGAACTGGGTCAGCGTGTCGTGGTCCACGCCGGTGCCGACGACGGCCACACGACGCGAGAGGAGCGTCTGCGACAGGTGCGACGCCAGCTGGTCCGTGCCCAGCGAGCCCAGCGCGTGGGGCGCCGCCAGCAGCGAGTGGCCCAGGTCAGACTGGCGGAACGCCGCCAGATGCAGGTCCTCCAGCAGTGATACCTGCGCCGGTCAGGTCAGAGCAGGTCAAGACAGGTCAGGCAGAACATGGTCAGGTATAGATCCTCTGGCTGCAACACCTGCTGTGGATAGGATCAGATCACGTCGCGTCAGGTCAGTTCGGGTCAAACCAGGAGCTACATGCAGCAAAGCCCCAAACAGGGAGACAGGAAGGGTCAAGCCCCATCAGGCATGATCAGTTCAGACTGACAGAACACCACTGAAAGCAGGCATTCTGGCAGGAATGCCTGGCAGAGTGATGGGTCAGGTCAGGTCAGGTCAGACAAGTGTCACCCAGCACAGTTCATCCAGCAGACCGACCTAGCACATGGTCAAGTCAGGTCAATGACTCAACAGCTGCACTGATTCTGACCAGCTGTTGACGTTGAGCCGAGTTTGCAGTTCTTGGGCGTCAAAAAGACCTGCCAACAAGTCAATAACAAAAACACCCCATGAATGGCATACCACAAAGAGGGACCTGACTAGTGATCCATCTCACGCTGTCAGCGCCTGTGATCCGGTCAGCTACCGTGACCATCACTGCAACGGACCTCAGGAGCAGTGAGCTTCAGGTCCAGCTGGACCCTCGCCTTGTTGTCCTGCACCTCCCACGGCTTGAACACCTGCTTGGTGGCCGCGTTGGCCAGAAGCTTCATCACCAGGTCCCTGCGGGCGGCCGATGGCAGAGTCCGGTTAGCCGAGATTTAACACATGCATCACCACTTGGGGTAATATACTCTGTCAGCCAACCAATAGGTTTTCAACATGAAAGAGAAAAGTCGAGAGCGATAATTGGTCGCACACCTAGTACGAACCTAGTACGCGGAGAGCCTGAATGAACCCGAGGTCCAACGCAACATTTAAAAAAAGACATGCCCAGAGACAATCGATGTGTTGAAATTTTCTGATGAAAACCGAGTAAAAAACAACTGCGGTCCCTCCCACCTGACATGGTAAGCGTGGTAGAGACTGAATATGACAAAAAAACGACTGACTGCCCGAAGAAAAGAGACAGGGCGCGAAGGGTTTGGGGGGATGACAAAATGGGTGTGGTGCACGCTTATACACAAACACCATCAGGGACAGCTGGACACTCCTGTTCCGGAGCTCACATGTGGTTGCGCGTGGCGTCCGCCGAGTAGATGAGCACTTCGCGGTCCACGGTACAGGTCAGCGAGCCGCCGACCTGCTGCAGCTGGCGGGTCAGCCCTGAGGACACACAACATCGTCACGGTACAGGCAGGGGAAACAGCCACCTGCTACAACTGGCGGGTCAGCCCTTGGGGCACGCGGTGCCCTTATGTGGGGTCAAACGAGGACGGCTCATATCTGGGGGACGCATGACACTGTTGGCAGGGTCAGGACGAGGTGAGGCCAGGCCTGGGACATGCAACACCATCACGCGGGATCAGCGAGGTCAGGTCAGATATTGGGAGCCTGCAGCCTTCATCACCATCATCTTGTCACCATCAGCATCACCATCATCATCAATTTGTCATCATCATACTTGCCATCATGCGAGGTCAGACTGGAGACTGCATGTACAGTGTTAGGTCCAGAACTGAATGGGCTAGTCCTGGAGATGGAGTGGGCGCAGCGTCGCCACAAGTGGGGAGGACAGGGTCAGTTAGGTCACGACGAACCGCACCAACGAAACAGGGCAGTCAAGGAACATGGCGTCATCTCAGGGTTTGGACGAGGCCAGTTCGGAGGTCGATGGTAAAGCTGTCACACCATGCCAAGCGGGTGAGACGGTTCGACAAGCACCAGCGTCGGGGAGTGCGAGAGAACGCCCGCTGCTGCTGCACTGGGGACAATGTTCATGTGAACCAGATGCTATGTTGGACAGATGTCATGGGAGGGTGACAATCAGCATCGACGCAGGCCAGGACAGTGAATGACCAGGCGAGTGTCGAATTCACCAACAAAAGTTCGCAGTCATTTACGATAACCACAGCTCCACCGTTCTACCACTGCTCCACAGTTCTTTACGCCAAAGGATCACCGCGGCTGCATCAGAGCTGGGGCTCTGGCCAATGCTCAGTGTGTGGCAGAAAGCAAATGGAACAAGCTGAGAGAAAACCATGTAGTTTGCCCACACCACGACACGCAGGGTCGCCAGCATGACCATTTCCGGACGGAGAGTCGGCGGGCGCCGTACGCGCCGCGCCGGGCCACGCGGTCACTGACCGAAGGCGGTGTCCTCGGCGTTGGAGAGGCCGGCTACGATGCGCAGCAGGTGGGTCACGCCGCGGTTCTCCGGCGTCTCGTATCGGCCGCCGGCCCTGCGGCGGCGCCGAGGCGACGGTCAGGCGGGAGGGCGGTCAGGCAGGACGGCGGTCGGGCAGGCAGGACGACAGTCAGGCAGGCAGCAGGCAGGGCGGCGGTGACACAGGACGGCGGTGAGGACGGCGGTCAGCAGGCCAGCAGTCAGCAAAACGGAGGTCAGGCAGACGGCGGTGGAGCAGGATGGCGGTCAGGCAGCAGGACTGCAGTCAGGCAGGGCAGCGGCCGGCAGATGGCGTGGCGGTCAGGCAGGCCAGGACGGCGGTCAGCAGGACGGTGGTCAGGCAGGCAGGACCAGCAGGGTCAGGCAGGCAATGGCGGTCAAGCAGGCAGGACGCGGTCAGCAGGCAGGACGGTGGTGACGCAGGCTGGACGGCGGTCAGGCGGGACGGGTGGTGGCGCAGACGGCGGTCAGGCAGGACGGTGGTGACGCAGGACGACGGTCTGTGAACACTGTTCGACGCGACCGGCGGTAAGTGAGGCTCACAGCGCCTGAGACGGACGGCCAGTGCAATCGTCGTTCAGCCACCGTGAGAACAACGGCAAAGCAGGAACTGAGCCGGGTGACTGACTGGGGTGTTCAGGTCACGTCAGGTCCCAGGTCAGGTCACGCAATGCAAACATGACGCAAATATTGCTATAAGTGCAAGACTTTGTGAACATCGCAGACCATACAATATGCAGCCTCGATGTTCAGATACTTCATCAACACAAGATGGATGGTGTGACCATCTTGCAGAAACACAGCATAGCTGTTAGCTGACAAATTCATAATGATCATGAACAGCAAGAATGCACAACAGCGTGCCATGGCGGATTGGTGAGGGAGGTCAAAGTGTTCCCTCTCACCTTCCCTGCCCCTGACCATCTTCCTGCACCCCACCTGACAGCTATGGCGACGCTGCGAGAGCGGCGACTGGTTCTCGACGGAGGCCACCAGCATGCCGTTGGCCAGCGAGCTGGTCTTGAGCGGCTCGCGCGGCAGGACGCCATAGTCGGACGACTTGGCTGCCGCCTGCTGCCGCGTAGCACCGTGACTGCAACGGCCGCGACAGCAGCGTAAGCGGCAGGACGGCACCGAGAGGGGGGGTCACATGTGGGGAAACATCGCCACTGCTGTGGGTATCCAGGTGGTGGGATGAGGGTATCCTGGCCATGTGAGAGGACTTACATCCACAATGTTGTGGACACAGCTTTAAACCATGTTGACACTGAAGAATGTTTGTGACACATGGTGCCTCCATGGGTTTTCTAAAACAAACAATGATTCTGAGGAGACAGTAGTGCAAAACTCTCCTGACCAAAGCAACAGTGATGCCACGTTTCAGTGGAGGCTTCTGACACCTGAGGTGTCCCTGTCATGCATTCAAGGTGCCAGGATAAATGCTTACTCTGCACAATTCAGTTGGGTGCAAAAACAGGTTGGAACTTCAGGCATGAAAGAGTTCAGGTGATCAGATCAAAAGATTAAGCATGACAGACTGACAGATATGTGAAACCAATGCGTAATATGTTAATACTTTGAAATTGTGATGCACAGCCTGTGTGGACCAACACAGTGCAGAAGAAAGTTTATGCACATCATTACATTGCATAGATGGCAGCAGTGATCTGCAGATGCTGTCCTAAACTGCAAATGAAAACATGAGAAGGCTAGGAGGCTTTGAAGGACATGAGACTGGTCAACAATTTCAGCTTATGCATGTTCAGCTTCCAGTGTGAAAGCTGTCAGGAAGCAATGAAGTTTATGGCCACTCATTTGAATACATAGAGGCAGGTAAAAGGACAACAAAATAAACTGCAAGCATGAGGATGACTCAAAATGAAAATTTATTGTTATACCCAGCCATGCCATTGTGTGGGTGTGGAATGAGGATAAGTTGCTACAAACTTGAGATTATGCATCAGACAAGTGATGCAGCAAGGAATCTGAGGCACAGGGAACTCAGATGTTCTTCTACCATGCACATATTATGATAAGTCATATATGATTTTAAAATGTTTGATAGGCAAAAGGAATCTCCTAATCATTGCTAGTGCTTACAGCTTTCATGAACACATATGCAGCTTTCAGCCCACTGACTTGCACTCAAGACATCTTTCTCAATCACCATATGGCTGCCTTTTAACTGACTGCTGGCATTATGCTAGACTGTTCAAATGGTAAGTCAAGGTGATGACTTCTGTTGGCAAGTGACTAGGATCAGTCCACAGTAAAAAAATCCATTGATTGGGGTACCTGCTCAACTTCAGTGTGCTGAGCTTTGATCTCACGTAAGCTGAGTTCAGCCTTGGTTAAATAGTCCTGAATTTTGGTCTTTCTCTTGCCTGGGTCTTCCTTTACAACATTATATTACCTTACAATTATACCTGACCTAAATTCAATTCATACATGATTGAGGTACAACACATCATTGCCATGGCAGTCTGATGCAATAGATAGACATTTTTCAGACTGCCCTGAGTGCTCAATCAATTTGAGGCAGTGGTGCAGCTTTGCCTCGACACCAATGACCTCTTGTTGAACATGTCATGTTCATGCATTCTCTCAGTAATCATAAGTTGTCCAGATCTGAGCAAGGTTTAAACTGATGTGAAATGCTTGTAACATTTTCAACCTTTTGCTTTTGCCATCTTGCCAGAGCAAAATACTCATTCTTGTAAAATATGATAGATAACAATAATATAAAAATATCACTCCTGACTCTGGCAAGTACATATTACTAATTGATGCACAATGGATGGTGCTGTAATTAGCATCATGAAGCTACAAGTACTTCCACATGAAATTACCCAGTTTGGGCTGGAATACTGAATGTACCAACTTCCTAATAGCACAGTACTTTTAAAAGGGACGCGCTATTCTATCCCGCTAACATTCACGACACACAAATGTATAAGTACATACGGGAAGCGACTTGAGGATGTTCGCTTTCACCAATTTCGAAGCCATTCTTAAAACCTTTCCTCCACGGGATATCAACTTTCCAAACACCTCGATCGCCGACGACCCAGCTTTCGCGAAAGCCCCGAGCACCGAAGGGCATAAAACCCTAGATTGTGGCGCACAGCAGGGATATGCGGCGAAAGGCAAAAATATAGAGATGGTCCTGGTCTTAATGTTCATCTCTGCCAGGTACAAGTACCAGAGTATAGCATATTTTTTATCACTTCTCCTATATTTACGTGGTTCTATTCACTATTCTTACGTTCAAACCCCTATTTCTGATCTTACACTAGCTTCATGTATGTCACTGCTTTGTTACACAATTACTATGCGATTTGATATACATACTTGTTGATCCTGAGTGGCAATGAAGTGAACATCTCTAAACATGTCAGCCTCTCTATTAATGACTGCGTAGTCGGCGCTTTTGTGACATAACTTTTTGATAGTACTGGACCACTAAAGTATAAAAATGCTTTTACCTTTCAGTCAGAGAACATTTTATTTTGAGATATTATGCCCACACCATAGATGTCTTTGTATTTCCAGGCTAAACACCTATCTGCTAGTGCTGTCACATTTACCACCTCTCAGGCAGTGCCAAGTAATCAGTGCGAGCATTATTGCAAACGAAATGTTTACGCTCTTGGCCCAAATAAATTATCAAAAAAACGTTATCCGGCCAGGCCATGCCTTGAACATTCTCTAAGCTCACTCAACTACATCACCCAACTAATCAGCTATTGTTCAGGAAAATATTAAGTCTTTTTTTCTTTTTTTAGATTCTTTTCTATGCCGTTACCCAAGAACAGGCAGCCAGGAGTGCCCCTCCCTCAATCCCAGCGACGCAGTAAACCGTACGCTAGCACCAGAAAACATAAAATCAAGTCGCGGCACTCCCAGCTAAGAACATGAAACAAACGTAAAAAAGGAGGAGAAGAGGTGGCGCAGACCCGAAGGAACTGTGTTATGTGATAGGTAGGGAAAAATCATAGATGAGAAGGCTTAAAGTAGTCATTAACCAAAGTCAGCTGATGACAGCCTGCTATAACCGCCCAATAAGCTACAACCTCTCAATTCATCGTGTCAGTAAGGGCTATACAGTCACACAAGTCGGATGGGGCAATTACCTGGCCATTTTTGTGCTGGGTTTTGAGCTGGATGTCCAGGGAGCCCACCCAGCTAAGTAGAGCTTGTTGCTGGGAGAACTCCCGGAGCCAGCGCCGAAATAGCGTCTTCCGTGTGCCAGCGTCTTCCGTGTTATGTTTCACGTTTGCTGTACAGAACGTCGTGCATAATATTAAATTTGTTAACCAACTCGGATTCAGAACGCTGTCCTAAGCATGCTTAGTTCAACTGTGGTGCCGCATGTTCGTTTCAAAGCCGCATGTCTTAAGTTCCTGTTGTCATGCGTTAATATTGCCCTGGCCTGAAAGATTGCTTCAAGGTCAAGTGGCCAAAGCGGATACCTTCATACTTCGTAGATGACCATAAATCCACTTGGATTTTTGTTTCGTGACCATACCACAGTTAGCAGCCGAATGACGGGTTTTTAACGCGGCACGAGGATACATCATTGACAGTTCTTACCGCCAGAGGACGGCCCGCAGGTCGGATGGCGGTCGGTCGAGAGCGCCTGCTTTCCTGTGCTCTCGCGAGGCGCGATAAACTTGCTCCTGTGCTGTTCGGTGCGCTGTCGGAATGCCCGCGTTATTCGTAAACACTGTAGGCGTGTACGGTCGCATCGCATAAATGCCATGTGGGATAAGACCGCGCTCTGGATTTTTCAGGGTAGTAGAAGGGTACACTGCAAGGCCTTGACACCGGCCAGAATGCGTTTGTAATGCCCGCGTAATTGATGTCACCACCCATAACGACAAAACTGGCATCTGGCATCGACATAACAGTAATTGGTATCGACATCACCGGCAACAGCAACATATTTAAGGTTTAATCCCCAGACACCAGAAACGTTGATTCCAGTTTACCGTGATTGCAATTGCGAACGTCAGCTCCTTGACGTGGAAGGCGGCGTAGTCATCATACCCTTTCAGAACGAGGTGTCCGTTTTAAGTTTGTACGTCTGCCACGTACAGGCTCAGCTCACACTGAATCCTGTCCGATTGTCACACTGATTCTGGCCAGGTAGTCACATTGATTCTGGCCCAGTAATCACACCAACTCCGGCCTTGTAGTCACACTGAATCATGTTCGGTGGTCACATTGTACTCGGCCCGATAGTCACATCGACTCTGGCTAGGTAGTCACACTGACCCTGGCTAGGTAGTCAAACTCGCCCTGCCCGGTAATCACACTGTCCTCGGCCCGATAGTCACACTGACTCTGGCTAGGTAGTCAAACTTACCCCTGCCCGGTAATCACACTAACCCTTGTCCGGTAGTCACACTGGCCCTTGCCTTGTAGTCACACTGACCTCGGCCCGATGTCACACTGACCGCGACCTGACCCTTAGATTCTTAGATGCAGAGTTTAAGTGGGGCGGAGTTCACTCGTTTCATGCTGGAAGCCGTGACCGACAAGGGGCCTTTCACTGTCTCACTGTGTGTGGACTCTCATAATAGGCTTTCATTGCTGCTTTCATTGCCGGAAGCCACAACCAACGCAGAAGGCCGTCGGACACTCGGGGTCCAGTCCCTGTTCTTATTGAGCAAATGTTCCAGGAGGCTCCGATCAATGGAAATCGTGGGCTCCGACCCAGTCCCTAATGGGGAAATGGGCCTTCTAGGACTTGGACAGACACGGAGCCGGCTCTTTTTTGTTGGTGGTCTCTGGCCGAAATGGCGACCAAATTGTTCTCGGAGTCTCCTATGACACCTGGGCACTTTGTAACAAGCACTCTAAATGATATTTAGGGCCACGGGCAGGGAGTCCTTAATATGACCTGCAGTCAGCCATTCGGAGCCTTCAGCTTTCCCATCGGGCCCTCACTCTTTGGATCCTTGCGAACACAGAATCCCGTGTTAGACATTGTTGACCCTTGGAGCACAGAGGCCCCAATTAACTCAGTGGCCCCGACCAATCTAAATCGCGGATCCAAGCCATTTCCTTTCTTGGGAAAAGGCCCTCTGGCCCAGACTGACACAGAGCCGGCAGATCGGCACTGGTGGTTCCTGACCGACATAGAAGCCCTCATTGACTCAGGGGGCACCAATGGGCGGAACCCTAATGCGACCTATGATCGACCCTTCGGGCGTCGGTCTCGAGGGAACCTTCGGGGCCCTCACGACCTAAGGGATGGAGTGGGGTGGAGTGGGGAGGGGGAAGGAAATGGGCACGTGCTTCCTATGCTCCCCTTGTCTCAATCTCAGACTGACCCGTTTCAAAGATCTGGTCGGGCGCGAACTAATGTTAAACCAAGGCGTTCACTCGGGGAGGGGATTTTGCGGTTTGCTAAGAGATTTGGGGTCACTGGTGGGGACTGCCCCCTCCCCAAACAGTTGACATGTAAAATCTGCCCCGGATGGGATGCGTGGTCTGTCCTGCAACATTGCCATAACGTTGGACTGCTGTATTTTCTAGTATCCCATACACTGTCTTGCCATACATGGACGCACTGACGCACGTGAAACACTATGGAGTGGGGTGAAGTGGGGAGGGAGAAGGAAGTGGGCACGTGACTCCCGCGCTCCCCTTGTCCCAACCTCAGACTGACCCGTTTCAAAGATCTGGTCGGGCGCGAACTAATGTCACTCCAGTGTTTTAGCCAAGGTTTTAGCCCAGACATCCTTGAGCTGTAATTAAACAATTGTATGGTTACTACATGCAAGAAAGGGGATGTATCTTGTGCTCTATATTTTGGACTTGATAGATGATCTTTTTCTTTCATTTTCTTACCACGGACATTGCTAAGAAAAATATTTCAAAAGTACTCACGGTCTAAAAGTATTTTATATTTTAGGCATTGCTGTCATTGCGCAACGAGGAACAAAACTTCCTTTCTAGACAGTTCGTGACGCAGGGAGGTGAGCGTTCTGGTGCTTGACGGTTCGTTGGTGTATTGTCGTCGTTATATGTTGATCCTTAGTTTCATTCTTTGTATCTTGACTTGTTCTAATTTTCAGTCAGTAACAAGGTGCTGTTCTTTCCAGGCAAGATGGGGAGGAGACCTGCGAGATGGTGAGTTACGCCGCACCCCGTATGTGTCCATCTGCTACGTGGTATTATCTTGAAGAAAATGTGTGGCAAGGATATGTAAATTGTGCAGATTTTCTATTCAGGTGGAGTAAATCAGTGTTTTTTGTTTTGTTGATCATTGGTTTCTGTCTGCACAGAATGAGTGCATTGGGATGTGTAAGACACTTGAATTCATCATTTTGTGAATGATGACTTGCCTAATTTTGCTGGGCAATGCCTCCATCATTGTGAAGGAATGTCATAGTCAGCATGAGAATCTTCCGTTTTATTTCAAATTTCTGAGGGCAGCTATCAGCTTTTTGGAATAATGTTTGCTCAGGGTAGTCACTGAGGTGGTTACTGAATTGCAAAAGAAATGGAAATCATTTGCTGGTCCAACTTGCCATATGCTTCATACTAGTAGAACCTGTGGTATTGGGAACAATATTGACTTATGGTGGGAATTGCCCAGATTAAAGCCTGTTCCACCATGTGTGTTGTATGGACCAAGGCAGTACACTATGCTAGGATATGTACAGCTGCATTTTTACTCAAAGTATTATATAACTTGCATGTGATGCCTCACATTTTATGGGAAAGTGTGGATGTGCACACTTAAGAACCAGATCATGAAATGTAATGGAAAACTCAAATTGAGCCACTTCTGTAGACCAGTATTCACCAAATCAAACCACTGTTGGCATTAAGTGAATTGACATGTCTAAGTAACATTTTGTAACGCTTCGTTAACTTGGTAGCTGCCGTCCCGCATTTCCCTTCCAAGGAGAGAAACTCTAACATTCTTCTGCCATGGGCCTTCTATTAACAATGTGCCTCCTCCAATGCCAACTAGCGTGAACTCTCCGCGAAAACTCGCCGGACACCCACATCACCTTGGACAGCTCTGCAGACCTCCTCAGAATGTGACATGCTCGCCTATTGGGCAACACTTTCCCATTTTGTCTGGGGACCCTGAAACCAGCTGTTCACAAAACCTTAAGCATGAGTGGTGCACAACAAACTACATGGTCTACCGCACATCTCGAACAGCTGACTTTGTTCTTTGTCAAGAATGCACCTCACCTAACTGTTAGGCTCGGTCCTGACGATATGAAGTGAAGCATATATGCTCCGAACTGTGGAGGCTGCATTGACACCAATAGGGATTTTGCATGCCCCCCCCCCAAAAAAAAACAAGTGAAGTTAAAGGGGTTTTCCACATCAAGGTTTTGAAGTGAAATAGCCAACAAAATGATTTTGAGTGCTGTTAACAGTCCCACCATTCCTGAGACCCAAGCCTTTCCAGTTTCTGGGCTACACACCTGAAAAAAAAATGGGAAGGATGTCTCGGAAAGAGTATTTTAAGGTCATCTTGACATTCATGGCACCATGCCATTCAGATCTTGCCATTCCATAAGCCATGCAGTGATGGGATAAAGGCTGATAAAAATTAATTGGTGACACATTCATATCATATCTGGCATGTGTCATCATGGTTTCCAGATACAACAACTGTCAATTGGTTCTCAATCAAGGTTGTGCAAGGATGGTGATCTAATTAAGCATGACAAATTAAGAAGCAATTTATTAAATATAATTGTGCTGTCTAGAGCTGTCTTGTCCACTTTAAAAGAACACAGTTAGAAGTGAGCTTTTCTCATCATATGTGATACTTGCTTCAGTACCTTCAAATTTGAAGGAGTCCCTTTAATATTATGTGATCTTAGCTGACTCAGTGCGTTAATTGAAGTGAGAGGAGTAAAATTACAGAATACACAGGTCCACAGCCCATTAAGAAATGCATGCATGTTTGTCTCAGTAACAAAAGTTTTCATGGTCTTATCAACTGGAGATGGGGAATCAGCAGGCATGTTACTAGCCAGTATGGACCTTATATTTGTGCTAAGCTCTGATAGTGACAAAAACCACATACATACATTCTTTGGTACAGACACATTGAGATTACTTCAAATTAGTGAGACATGCACATTCCATGGTCTCAGTCAGTACTCTCACATGTGACCCATTTATAATTGTTAAGATGAACTGATATTGGGTCTGATCTGCCTGCTTAAACCCTGTAATATTTGGGTGTGTCTCTGTCCCCAAGAGTCACTCTCTGGCGAATACAGGGACATTGACTGCTGGGAAATTCCGTGCTGGATGGATGTACCTTGTTCATCCAGCCCCGTCAACCAACCACAACCAACCTTGGCTAAAGTATTTCCAGAGTCCATCAGAATTGTACAGTCACTACCATGTGGCTACCCAAAGTGGAGTCCCTCAGACCGCAGCATTTCACTGTATCGAAGTTCTGAAACCTACGAAGATGATCTTACCCACAGAGTGTCCAGCCTGCTACAATGCTGACCTCCGCACCTTGTGTTCGTTCCCAGTTATCGGTACTGCAAGAACAAGCCGTACCCCAAGTCTCGGTTCTGCCGCGGTGTGCCCGACCCTAAGATCCGCATCTATGACCTGGGCCGCAAGCGCGCCTCGGTGGAGGACTTCCCCTGCTGCGTGCACATGGTCTCGGACGAGATCGAGCAGCTGAGCGCCGAGGCGCTCGAGGCCGCCCGCATCTGCGCCAACAAGGTGAGCCGAGCCGGCGGCGGCGGCGTGACGGTGTCTATATGTGCTGTGAGAGGAGGGGCGCTGGTTGTCACCGTTCTGTTGGGCCAACCCTGTGACCTTGGTTGCATCTCCTGGGACTATGTGGGGCTCAGAATTGTGGGTTTGCATTCAAAGTTGATGTTAAGCATTTCAGATGCCTTGATGCATTCAGCTAATTTGTTTGGGATTTTCCTCTCAGTTTACATGTGTGTTCCAACCTCCCGTTCGGTTGTTAGCCTAGGTAGCGGTTTTTCGGCTCGAGCTGATTAGTTTGATAAATGCACGCTAACAAGATGACGAGTCCCGCCCCGTGCGACTTTGACGTGAGTGCCATTTTGAGAAAGGACGGCGGCCATGCTGCTGCCGTCTTGGTTACACATGGCCACAGCAACGCCGGCCGGTCGGCGGGAGCGGCGCCTCTGGCGACGCCACCCGCCGGCGCGGCCCGACACCACCCGACCATCTCGTGCGGGGCATGGCTCGCCCCCGACCTTGGCCCGGCGGCTGCGCCAACCCGGCGAACGCCACAGGGCAGTCGTGTATGTGGGCTAAGGCGGACAGAAATCACTGGGCCTACGGGCTGGTTTCTTTGCGCTTCTTCTTTTGATTCAGTGTAAAGTGACGCCCGTCTGGTTTTTGGCGGTGAGTTCCTGGGCGCGCCTTCTCGCCGCTCGCCAAGCTTCCATCACGCGAGCTGTGGCCTGTGTTTCAGTACTTGGTGAAGAACTGCGGCAAGGACGCGTTCCATATTCGCATCCGGACGCATCCGTTCCACGTGAACCGCATCAACAAAATGTTGTCGTGCGCCGGCGCCGATAGGTGAGACGTCCGTGGCGGGGTATGACGTCATACCGTCACAGCAGAGGAGCCGGGCTGAGAGCTCCGAGGAAGACGCTTCCTTTCGTTTAGATCCGTCGCTAAGGAAAAATACCCTTTCGTTCAGTATTTAGTCCCTGATCTTTTTAATTGTGTTTACGTAGCTGCATGTGTGAAATGCCGTAACGCGTTACGTTACGTTGCCGTCCGACGTGTCACGGCAGCCACACCGTGGGAGGGAAAGTTTGCCAGTCGACGGGCCTCCCGACTCGGCTACCCTGTAATATTTGGGTGTGACTCTGCCTCTAAGGGTCATACTCTGGCGAATACAGGGACACTGACTGCTGGAAAATACCGTGCCGTGCGGACGTGCCGTGTCCGCCCGGCCCCGTCAACCACCCACAGCGACTCGTCCAACCCGATGGCATCTCGTTGCTCTTGGTTGCGTCAGAACTCTGACGTCACCGGGTACTGTGGAGCCGTGCATGCTGCCTAACTCGCTGGCCGTTGTGCCGCCTGCAGCTCGTGCCGCTGGTAACCACGCCGCTGCCCTCCACGGCTCATTGTTCGGGGATCTGCGTCTCCAGCGTGCCATGCGTGTCGTGTGTCCCGCACCCGTGGGTGTCGCCTGACCCGCCGCCGGCACCGGCGCGTCCGCAGGCTGCAGACGGGAATGCGCGGCGCGTTCGGCAAGCCGCAGGGTCTGGTGGCGCGCGTCAAGATCGGCCAGCCCATCATCTCCATCCGCACCTCGGACAAGCTCGAGTCGCACGTGGTGGAGGCGCTGCGCCGCGCCAAGTTCAAGTTCCCCGGACGCCAGAAGGTGAGGCGGAGGGCCGGCGCTCCGCCGCCGGGCGAGGGCGTGGCTGAACATCCCCTGCCATATTTGGGAGTGGCGCCGTGTCGTGGCGGCCGCGCTCAGGCGAACGCAGGGACAGCAATCAGCAGGGCCTATACCGTGCGGGGGGATGTGGCTTCTCCACCCCGCCCCGTCAAGCCCGGACAGACCGCATCGGGATGAGCTCGAGCGCTGCATTGCCTCTTGTGTACATGGTACCTGCTTCTGGCTTTAGTGTGCGCAGTTCGCAAGGAATGCTGCTGAAGTGCGAGACGGGGGAAGATTTCAGTTCAAAGTGACACTGCTATATGGCCATGTGTAGGATCAAAGGAGGAGCGATTTAAGTGTGCTGGGCAACGGCTGGTGTGATATGGCGTGGTTCTCCTGAGCGTTAGACTAGGTTATGGTATGGTTCATTGAATGTCAGGAGGTTGCTGGCTTCCATTGCGCCTAGAACCAGAGCACCTGCAATCCGTGGTCTCATTATCCAGTGACCTGAAACAGCAGCTCACTGTAAGGTGGAAAGACGTGTTGGTCCTAGTATAATCACACATTGAGCATTGGTTTGAGCTTGCCCTGTTAGGCTGCTTGTCACGCTGGTTGACACTACCGGTCGCCAAAAGCATGAATTCATACCAGGTCCTCCACGCCGGGTTCGCACAGCGTGACCCCGCTCCTTCCGCTCGGCAGATCTTCATCTCGCGCAAGTGGGGCTTCACCAAGTTCGACCGGGAGCGTTACGAAGAGCTGCGCTCGCAGCACCGCCTGCGCAACGACGGCGTGGGCGTGCAGTACGTGCGCGAGCACGGCCGGCTGAAGGACTGGAAGAAGGTGCGCATGGCGCTGGAGCAGGCCGACTAGGTCCGGCGCCGCCCGGCTGCGCTGGTCAATACACGAGACGTGCACGAGGATGGACTGTTGTTGGCGAGAGGGGAGGGGGAGGGAGCGAGAGCGAGAGGAGGTTCGTGGAGGGGTCGGCTTCTGGCCGCGGTGACAACGGTGTTACAGCCAAAAAGAGGGCAGCGTACCCGGATAGATGTGGCGATGGGAGCAGTTTCCAGAAGAAATAGAGAGCACAGCTGATCACAACTAGTGAACCGCAGAATCGCACAGCCGCTCTATTTAGTTCACTCACGGCGTGTGCGCGACGCTCCCCACGAGAAGTGTGCTGGCACCGTTCTATGTCATGGTAAGCTTAGGTGATCATAACAATGCGTCCGTCACGATATGTAATCTTGTGTCGCATTCGAACCGAAACGCGGATCACTTGTGCGATTCTGGGTGCGGTAGTTGCGGACCGTGCTGTGCGTACTGCCAGTTTGTTGGGGCATGGCTTGTAGTGCAGTATTCTCGATCACCGAACGCTGCGTGTGAAGCCAGTCGAGTCCACGAGCACTGCCGGGTCTAGTTGGAAGTCTGTCACACGAGGTCTGTGCTGTCGTGCCAAGCAGGTACGACTGGCAAATCGCCGCACCGACCCGCCTCAGGCGACGTGCGGGGCACGGATCAGGGCGTTCATATCGGCCTCCCGGTTCGCGCGCGGCGCCATGAGGTCCGCTCGGCGCGGTCCTCGTGCCGGCGCATTCCCCGCTGGGGTGCGACACTCCAGGCCAGCTGAACCTCTGGTGGGACGCGTAGCTGATGACGTTGCTGGATGCCATCTGGACGGTTTTTAGCGAGCCCTCTCGTGCATTTCAGTTCTTGCCTTTTTAACGATGCCCACGCCGCATTGTTAGAAAGTACGGAAGCCGAGACTAACGTGCGGGGTAGACCGCGATAAAAGGCAACAGAACATTTCGTCAGTACATCACGACAGCTAACTGCTGCACACATAGACTAGCACGAACACCACACATTCGACAGCGTGCTTGGTACCGCGCAGTGCCCAGCCAGGCTGCTTCGTGAGTCGTGGGGAATAGTTGTACAGGTCCTCTGCATCCGACCGGCGGCAGCGTTGTGAGGAAGCGGAGGTGCACTAGCGCTGCCTTTCGGCAGCATGAGTAAACTGAGTTACGTTTCGCCTAGGCATCGCCGTCCGGATCCCTCGACCGTTCGCTAAGCGGCCGCAGGTCTGGACACAACACCCTCTCGGCTGACTGAGGGCTGCGCCCAATCGTACCTGATATGACGCATCGACATCCCGGCCCTCCCAACACGCTCAGGATTATTCTTGCCGGTGCGATTATTCTTGCCGGCCGGTGCGAGGCGGAAGTGTCGAGCCGCAGCTGCGGTCCGGCATCGTCCGACGCGCAGGCCAGCGGTCCAGACCACCCTCACTGACGCTCCCGTCCACTCGAGCACCGTTTTGTCAGCGCTCTTATTAGCAGTCTCTGTTGCTCCAGTCCTACGCCGCGCTGCGATTTCATCCATCTAATTAAAAGCTGCTACAACAGAGTCGCAGCCATCGCCTAACAGCATCCCGGCGCCTGTGCATGGAAGCGTCCTTTACAAGGCCTCAAGCCTTGCAAAGGACGCGCTGCAAAGCGTGAAGCGTTGCAAGGGCTGTAATTCAGCTGCCTCATGTACTTGTTTTTATGTTATTGTTTTTTCTGCGCTAGCGATTCATCCCCCCAGCTGTTTCAGAAACCACCAGCTGCAGACGTTACCGCTGAACGTCAGCTGTCTCGATTCATCGGTACAGTAAGACACCGATAGCTAAAATCACATATATTTTTTCACATACCCGACATACCACAGGTTACGCTCTTCATCCAAGATGCGTAAACCATTCCGCACCTGAAAGAGAATTACTCGTTAATGCGATGGAAGTTTATTTTGTGAGGATACACAAGCCAGGTTTACGACGCATAATTGCATAAAACTGCGAAGTCAATTTCGAGTGGAACCACGAACAAACCTGAATGCGCGCATCGCAATACAAAACTAATAGTGACCGGAATTCGACCCTTCTGAAGCCACGTAACACGCAATATAAGCAATGGCACGGCACGACGACAGGTTAACATGACAAATCCAACATCTGGAGTGTTAACTTGCCGGCTTCTCTGATGGTCATGCCTGAGGGGAAAGCTCCTGCAGCCATGAACCAGAGGCAATGGACGCAATCTCTAAAATGTGCGCGATGTTTGACCCGACTAACAAATCAAGGTCAATTGGCAACGTGCCAAAAACGGCAGAGCTGGCATGGCGCAGCAAAAAAAGACCCCTCCGCAGCCTTGTGGCCACGCTCCTGAGTCAGGTAACGCTGTCGGGTGTCAAGTTACGCCGAGAACTTGGTGAAACCGCTGAAGACGTTACAGAAGTCAGCATCAGGCAGCCGCCGGCTCGGCGGCAATTTGCTTAACATTTTCCGTAACTATTTGTCTTCTCGCTGGACCAGCATGAAAAGGGCTAAAGACCTCACCGACTTGAAAATGCCATTGTATTAAGCTGAACCGGAATATCGGAATATCGGAACGACCAAACACCCCGTCTGACGGAGCTTACGTTGCGCTAAATTGCTACTGCTCCCCACATTTTCATATGGTGAAAACTTACAATGTCGGTACCTCGAACGTTTCCAAATAGTCGGCGTCGAACGTATTACTTCTCGGGTATGTACAAAGTCTGATGTCATATATCACATGCAGTATC